TTCGCCGACACTCCGCCCGAGACATGCCGTCCCTGGATGTCCTCCGCCATCATTGAAGGGGCCCTGGGACACACAAATAAATACACACAAATAAAAAGATTCCCCATATTTTCAAATATTTTCTGGGTTTTTGTCTTCCCCCCCGATTTCCCATGTTTTCGCATATTTTCCTGGGAATCGAGGATTAATTGTGTCTGTGTGTTTTTCCCCCTCCTGAATCATGCCGCCAAGGACACAGAGCGAGGCACATGGACGTGATCCGCGGGCGAAAAACTGCCCCCCCCCAGCGCAGCAAGCGAGCACAGCGCACGAGCTCTCTCGGCGAGCACAGCGCGCGGGAGCACCTCGAAGGCTAGAGGGAAGCCCCGCGCAGGCCGCGAGGCATCGGAGGGGCGCCTCTAGATCCCAGGCAGCCCCGGGGGCATGCGCGGGCATGGCATAGGCGCCGACATGTGCGGGCATGTGCGGCCGCGCGCTTCGACGCGTACACGTCGGCCGGAAGAAGCAGGCAAAAACATGAAGTAGGAAGGCGGATTGAGTGGATTGGGTCCAGGCCCTCCCAGAGAATAACAACATACAGCAAAAGCATGACGATTCTTGAGGTAGGAAGGCGCTTGAAGTAGATTGGGGTTTGGGAATCTAAAAAATACCTACTTTCAACGACCGGCGTGTATGCGTGCAGGCGCGGGCCTGGGCGGTCATCCGCAAGGAGGTCGCACAGGCATGTGCGTGCCTGTGCCGCTGACCGATGCGTATGCGATGTTCGCAAACCTTCCACATGTGCAGGCATGTGCGTCGGCATGCGCGGGCACGTGCAGGCAGCGGATGCACCAGACACAGGGCACATGACCCTGCGCATGCCTGGGCGCGCATGCACAAGGGAACGTCCATCCGATAAGACTCGCATATGTCGGGCACATGCCGGGCACCTGCCGTGCACATGCACGCGCATGCCAGGGAACAAAAAGAGCCCGCACGTGCACACACCCAGGGGAATACAATTGAGCGCGGTGTACTCATCTCGATCGTACCAATCGGCGACGTCGGCGATGCCATCGACGCCGTCGGCGCGGCGACAATCGGGCTCCGCATCGAGCCGCGTCGGCGATGCGGAGCGATCCTCCAACCCCACCTGCTCGGACCCCGTCTGGGACCCAGAGCATGGGGTCTCGGCCTGGGGATCCCGGGGCCAGATCTCCGACGACTTGATCTCTCCAGTACGCCCGCCGCCTCCTCCTCCTCCTCCTCCTCCTCCTCCTCCTCCTCCTCCTCCTCCTTGAGCAGCTCCTCGACCCTCGATCCCCGGCACTCGAGGCGGCGGCGGCGAGGGAGGGGCGGCCTCTGCCCCACCCCCGCCTCGAGGGCCGGAGCTCCGACGACGGCGGCGGCCGCCGGCGGCCTCACCGGCGCGCCGGAGCGGCAGGCGGCCGCGCGCCGCGAGCCCAGCAGGGCGCGCAGCTCCGCGGTGGTCACCAGGGGCGCGCCGCGCTGGAGGCTCGGCCTCGGGCCCGTGGGCGGCGTCGCTGCGCGGAGGGCCGCGCCTGGTCGCCGTGGCCGCGGCGCCGCCGCCGTGCCGCCGTCGTCGCCGCGGCTCGTCGTGGCTGCCGCCGGCGCCGGCGTCGCACGGGAAAGAAGCCGACGGAGGGATGAAGGGACGAAGTTTCCCCTCCTCCTCCTGCTGCTCCTCCTCCTCCTCCTTTTTCCTCTTCCTTCTCCTCCGCCCTCCTCCTCCGCCCTCTTCCTCCGCCCTCCTCCTCCTCCTCCGCCCTCTTCCTCCGCCCTCCTCCTCCGCCCTCATTCCTCCTCCTCCGCCCTACTACTCCTCCGCCCTACTACTCCTCCGCCCTCCTCCTCCGCCTCCTCTCCGCCCTCCTCCGCCCTCCTCCTCCTCCTCCTCCTCCTCCTCCTCCTCCTCCTCCTCCTCCTCCTCCTCCTCCTCCTCCTCATTCACTCAATATGAATACTACTCTCCTCTCTCCCCTGGTGACGTCCGGGAAATGTCTGGCCCCCCTCCGCGTACTGGTTTGTTTGGCTGTCGCTGTTTGTTTGCAAAACGCTGCTCTCGCTAAAGCGCTGGCCTCATTTTCGGGCTACTGCTCGTTCCGCATCGTGCTCTCGCTGCAGCGCTGGCTTCATTTCCGCGCTTCCGTTTGTTCAGAATCGTGCTCCCGCTGCAGCGCTAGCGCCCTTATTGCCAGTGCCATGCCACGGCATGGTTTTCGGCCCTTACAAATAAACCCCAAAATCAAACAACAACAAAAAAATGCACCCGAAAAAAACATCGGAAGTGATTGCACATTCGGCGTTGATTCGTTGATTTTGGGGCCGCAGAAGCCCCCCCCCACTTTGGGGCTTCGCCACGCCATGCTATGTCAGGCTACGCGTCCTCCGAATCGCGCTCCCGCTGCAGAACTGGCATCATTTCCGCGCTTCTGCTCGTTGTTCCGATTCGTGCTCCCGCTGCAGCGCTGGCGTCATTACTTCCAGCGCCATGCCACGGCATGGTTTTCGGTCCTTCCAAGTAGGCCCCCGAATCTAAAAAATTGCCCCCCGAAAAAAAACATCGGAAATGATTACACATTCGGCGTCGATTTGTCGATTTCTGGGCTGTAGAACCCCCCAAGACCTTAAAAACGATCCGGCTGGAAAACGCCGATCCGACTTGACCCGTGAGGGACCCAGGGGCCCAGTGCGAGCCGATTGTTCAACGAAGCCAGACCATCGAGCCTGGCAGCCCGCCGTACTATTCCCTGACATCCGTCCTCGCCCGCCGCAGCTTCCCCCGCCGCCGCCGCCGTCGTCGTCTGCGTCCTTGTCGCCGTCGGCAATTTCTGTGCGATCTCTGGAGCTTCCGGAAGTCTTCGGGCCATCCACCACGCCTCGTGCAGAGCTGTCTGGGGAGCCCAGGGAGACTTGGAAGAGGACTCGTGCCTTACGCTATTACAGTACCCGTACCAGACGACACTTGGCATTCGAAAACGCCCAAATCGGGCAGGCACGGTTGGGCAGGACATGGAACCAGGATTCCGGACAGGCCATTTCCATTCGCACACGGGCCATCCGGTGCCATACCATGGCATGCAATGCGATGTTGCGTTGTGCTCCGCTGTGCGGTGCCATGCTTTGCGATGTGACGCTTTGTGATACCATGCTAAACTACGCAATGCCAAGCCATGCTAGAACATGCTCTGCTCCGCCGCACTCTTCTACACCAATTCTACGCCGTGCTGTACCATGCATCACAAACCCTCTCGGGATCATTGCCTTGCTCGACATCTGACATGATTAGGGTTGGGAGGGAGAGGTATTACGACAAATGTTGTCCTCCTCCCCCTCCCCCTTCCCCTCCCCCTGCCTCTCCCCCTTCCCCTCCTTCTCCACCTCCACCTCCTCCTCCTCCTCCTCCTCCTCCTCCTCCTCTTCCTCCTCCTCCTCCTCCTCCCCTCCTCCGCCTCCTCCGCCTCCTCGCCCTCGTATTCCATGCCTCCTCCTCCTCCTCCTCCCTCCTCCTCCTCCTCCTCCTCCTCCTCTTCCTCCTCCTCCTCCTCCTCCACCTGTGCCACCTCCTCCTCCTCCTCCCCCTCCCCCTCCCCTCCCCCTCCCTCCCGCCCCCCTCCCCCTCCCCTCCCCCTCCCCCTCCTCCTCCTCCTCCTCCTCCTCCTCCTCCTCTCCTCCTCCTCCTCCTCCTCCTCCTCCTCCTCCTCCTCCTCCTCCGCCTCCCCGCTCCGCCTCCGCCTCCGCCTCCGCCTCCTCCTCCGCCTCCTCCGCCTCCGCCTCCGCCTCCGCCTCCTCCTCCTCCGCCTCCTCCCCCTCCGCCTCCGCCTCCGCCTCCGCCGCCTCCTCCTCTCCGCCTCCGCCTTCCTCCTGCCTCCGCCTTCTCCTCCTCCTCCTCCTCCTCCTCCTCCTCCTCCTCCTCCTCCTCCTCCTCCTCATCCTCCCACTCCTCCTCCCACTCCTCCTCTCACTCCAACTCCCACTCCCACTCCCACTCCCACTCCCACTCCCGCTCCCGCTCCCATTCCCACCCCCTCTCCCCTCCCCTACGCTTCTCCCCCGATGAGAATGCGCCGGCGTCGCAGGGAAAGAGGGAGGGAGGGAGGTAAGGTGAGAGGGAGGGAGAGGCAGGGAGCGCGCGAGAGAGAGAGGGGGAGACTGAAAGAGAGGGATAAAGAGAGAGAGAGAGAGAGAACATCGACAGAGATCTTCGGAAGCCTCTGGAGGTCCCCGAGGGTCCCCACGGCCCGTGGGAGTCTCCCGAGATCCCCGCGTCGTCGACATCCACACCGACGCCACCGACGCCGCGGACGCCGCCGCCGCCGCCGACGACGACGACGACGAGTCTTGATCTTGAAACCTCGGGGCTAATTACAGGATCAACGCTGACGACGCGGCCACCGGCGACGACCTCGATCGGCAACTTCAGTCGACTTCGAGCGACGACCTCGACGACGACTTCGATGAGCGACGACGACGACGGCGCCCTCGATCGACGACTTCGACAATGGCGACGACGTCGTCGATCGCCGCGAGGCGTGACGGCGCTGGGCGCCCCTGGCCTCCGTGGCCCTCCAGGCACCTTCCGCGGCGGCGGCTGCGTCTTCGATCGGTTTTGTTACTGCTCTTGCTGTTATTATTGCGATTCTTAACCATATTACGACGACGACGCCGACGCAGGCGGCTCCGAAGACGACGCCGACGACGCCGACGACGACTGCGACGACGACGACGCCGACGCCGACGCCGACGACGACGACGACGACCGCGGCCACGACGACAACGCCGACGACGCCGATCGTCGCCGACGCCGACGACGGCGACGACGACGACGACGGCGACGACGACGACGGCGACGACGACGACGCCGACGCCGAAGACGCCGAAGACGCCGACGGCGCCGACGACGGCGACGGCGATCGCCGCTGGGCGCCCCGGCATGAGCGCGCCGGGCAGCGCCCGGCCGTCCACGGCCGCCACGTGCCAGCCGGGCGTCACGCCGAGGCGGTGCGCGGGCGAGCCGCACACCACCTGCGCCGGCGGCGCGCCGTCGGCGCGCCGTCGCCGGCGGCGCGACGACGATAACGCCGACGACGCTGATAGTCGCCGACGACAACGAGGATCGACGACGCCGACGGCGACGACGACGGCGACGACGACGACGACGACGACGACGACAAGGTTCGCCGACGGCGGCGACGACGGCGACGGCGACGACGAGGATCGCCAGCGGCGCGGACGCGAAGGCCGCCGAGGCCGACGACAATGACGACGACGACGCTGCCGCAGCCGCCGCCGCCAACGACGACGACGTCGCCGCCGCTGGGCCACCTCCTTCTCACTTCGGCCGTCCTCCTGATCCCTCTCCCCTATTCTCCCGCCCCCCGCCTCCCTCAGAAGTCCCTCCCCCTCCTTCCTCCCCTCATCCTCCCCAGACGCACCTCTCCCCATTTTCATCCCACCCGCTCTTCCGCCCTCCCCGTCATCCTTCCACACTTTGTTATGCCTGCCCTCCTCCTTCTCAACCCCCTGCCATGCTACTGCCCTCATCATCATCAGAGTGAGGGAGCCGAACGGTCATTCACCGTCCCTGGGTGCGTGGCTGAAGAGGCCTTCCGCGATGCGGATTATTGTTGTTGTTGTTGCTGTTGTTGTTGTTTGTTTGCTTGCTTGCTTGCCTGTTTGTTTGCTTGTGTGCTTGTTTGTTTGTTTAGTTGGTTGGTTGGTGTGTTGTTGGTTTGTTTGTTTGCGTGTTGTTGTGGGTGATGTGGTTGATGCTGTTGTTGTTGCTGTTGGTGGTGTTGACGTTGCTGTTGTTGGTGTTGATGGTGTTGTTGCTTGTGGTCGTTAATGCAGTTGTGGATGTTGATGTGTGTGTTGCTGATGTTGAATTCTCATTTCTGAAGAATAATTATTGTTGATCCCCCCACCGGTGCATACTGTTTTTCTCAATCAAAGCCCCTCGACGCTCGCACCCTGTTTTTTGACAGGGGAAATCTTCATGCTCAAACTGGGCCCCTGGCCCCCGGGTTACAACAACAACGGCTCCCGCCTGAGACTTCCTTACAATTTAGCCAGGACCCCCGCTCCCGCCCGAGACTTCCTCGCATTTTATTTAGGAATCGCGCTCTCGCTTGGGATTTCCCTGCAATTTATTCAGGAATCGCTCTCCTGGCGCTCTGGAGTCGCGCTCTCGCTGGAGACTTGCTTGCAATTACTGAAGAATGGCCTCGCATTGGAATTTCCTGCAATTTGCCCAAGCGCCGCGCTCCCGACACCCAGGCACTCAGGAATCGCGCCCGTTGTGGCCCCATGTGCATGCCCTTCGTGGCCCCGCTGTCGCAATTTGTATCCCCCTCACTGTCCTACGTGGCCCAGTTGCTACCCTCAGTGGCCCCGTAGTTGCCTTCTGTGGCCCCGCATTATCTGCACTTCGTGGCCCCCGCTCGTTCGCGCTCTTCGTGGCCCCATACGCATTCCCTTCGTGTCCCCGCTGTCCTTCGTGGCCTACTTCGTGCCCTTCGTGGCCCTGCTGTATTTCTCTCTCGCTCTCGCTTTCGCTCGTCGTCGCCGTCGTCGTCGTCGTCGTGGTCGGTCCCATCCGTCCCTCTTGGGGTCGGTTCGACGATCCGCGGCCGCCCCGCCGATCAGCGCTGCCGCTGGCCAGGCCGACGGTCCGCGGCCGCCCCGCCGCTTGCCGGGGCCCGGCCTGCAGGGAAGAAAGGTATACCCCCTAAAAGGGGTTTGACCGAAGACGAAGAGGGCGGGTATCGAGGGTTTGGGAAATACGCGTTATTGGACACTCGAGCGTATAAGGGCGAACAGTCGTAAAATTATTGTGATTGTTGTTGGTGGTGGTGTTGTTTGTTGCTGTGTGTTGTTGTTATTGATGTTGATGTTGTTGTTGTTGTTGTTGTTGGTGTTGTTGTTGTTTGTTGATGGTATTGGTTGTTTTTGTTGGTGTTGTTGCTGGCGATGGTGTTGTGGTTGTTGCTGTTGCTGTTGCTATTGCTGTTGCTGTTGCTGTTGCTGTTGCTGTTGCTGATGCTGTTGTTGGTGTTGCTGAATGTTAATTACTAATCAATGAAGTTTGCTGGACCCCTTCAAGGCACTTTGGCGCCCTCGCCAAAGCGCCGACTACATTTTCATTGGAAATGAAACTATCGAGCGGTTTGGGGGACCGCCAAAACCGGCCCCCCAACAACAACGCTCCCGCTCGAGACGTTCTCCTTTTTTACTCTAGGCTGGTGTTTTTGCTCGCCGCCGAAAGCCGCCGTCGTAACGAAACCAGCGCTCCCGCTCGAGACTTCGTCCCGTTTTTCCTTGGACTGGCGCGCTAGTCTTTCTCTCATCGGCGCCGCCCCCAGCAAAAACAACGCTCCCGCTCGAGGCTTCCTTCTTTTTTCACTCAAGGCGGTGCTCCTCCTCGCCGCCGAAAACCGCCGCCCCGACAAAACCGGCGCTCCCGCCCGAGACTTCCTTTCGGTTTACACTGGACTGGTGCCCAACTCTCTTTTGAACTGGCGCCGCTCCCAGCAAGAACAGCGCTCCCGCTCGAGGCTTCCTTTCCTCCCTTTTTCCTGAAGACGGTGTTGTTCCTTGCCGCCGACAACCCCCGTCCCGACAAAGCCACGGCTCCCGCTCGATGCTTCCCCCCTTCTTACTCAAGGCGGTGTTCCTCCTTGCCGCCTAAAAACCGCCGCCCCGACAAAACCAGCGCTTCCGCCCGAGACTTCCTTCCGTTTTACGCTGGACTGGCGCCCTACTCTTTTTTGAATTGGCGCCGTTCCCAGCAAGAACAACGCTCCCGCTCGAGATGTCCTCCCCTTTTCCTCAGGACGGCGCTGTTCCTCACCGCCGACAGCCCCCGTCCCGACAAAACCACAGCTCCCGCTCGATGCCTCCACCCTTCTTAATCAAGGCGGTGTTCCTCCTCGCCGCCGAAAGCCGCCGTTCCAACAAAACCAGCGCCTGCGCTCGAGACTTCGTTTTGTTGTACGCTGGACTAGCGCCCGACTCTGTTCAGCAATGGCGCAGCTCCCAGCAACAACAGCAGCCCTGCTCGATACTTCCTCCCTTTCTATTCAGGGCCAGGTCCTTGCCTCACCGCCGACAACCCCCATCCCCACCAAGGCAACCCTGTCGTTCGATACTGCCGTGTGCTTTACCCTTCGCTGGGGTTCCACTGGCGGTCTCGCATCGGCGCAGCAAGGAACGGGGATGTGTTTTCGAGGCGGGATATGTTGAAATTCCTCGGAGGAGGTGGTCGCAAGACCTCATTTGGCGGGAGATCTGGGAATGGGAATAACGGGCCCCGCTATAGAACAAGAGCCCCACATGATGTGAATGGTTATCATGATGGACGCATGCTTCGTGTGGGAACATCGCGCATGAGGGTAAAATGATTGTTGCTGTTGTTGCTGTTGGCGTTGTTGTTGTTGTTGGTGTTGGTGTTGATGTTGGTGTTGTTGTTGTTGATGTTGTTGTTGTTGTGGTTGTTGTTGTTGTTGTTGTCGTTGTCGTGGTCGGTGACGTTGTCGCTGTCGTTGCTGTTGTTGCTGTTGTTGATGTTGCTCTTGTTGGTGTTGTTGTTGGTGGTGCTGTTGTTGATATTGTTGTTGCTGCTGCTGCTGTTGTTGTTGCTGCTGCTGCTGCTGCTGGTGTTGTTATTGTTGTTGCTGTTGTTGTTGATGTTGTTGTTGCTCTTGTTGTTGGTGTTGTTGTTGTTGCTGTTGTTGTTGCTGTTGTTGTTGTTGTTTGACGTCGTCTCCCCCCCCCGCGACCGGGCTAGCGACCCCCCCACGACCCACCCCGCGACCCACTCGCGACCCACACCGCGACCCGCCCACGACCCACCCGCGACCCATCCCGCGACCCGCCCACGACCCACCCGCGACCGCGACCCACCCGCGATCCACACCGCGACCCACCTGCGACGCACCCGCGATCCACCCGCGACCCGGCCCGCGATCCACCCGCGACCCACCCGCGACCCACCCGCGACCCACCCTCGACCCACCTGCGACCCACCCGCGACCCACCCCGCGACCCACCCATATTGCTTTAACGGAAAGTCGGCGCCTGCGGTGGGCTCGTAGGGTAACTTGAAAAAATCAAGCAACTGCGGCGGGCTTCTTTAGAGCCTCGTAGAATAAAGCCGTCCCCGCCGCCTCCTCACTCTTATCCGCGACTGCGGGGTGCCACGTAATCATAATTGTCATCAGTATTATGACCTACCGTCACCATCACCACCACCATCACCCTCGCCATCATCATCATCATCATCATCATCATCATCATCATCATCATCATCATCATCGTCATCATCATCATCACCATCATCACCATAATCAGCATCATCAGCAACAGCATTGTCATAATATCGTCATCGTCTTCATCACCATCCTCCCTGCTCCCAATTGTTCTTCCCATCCCCGCTCCGGTCTCCCCTGCTCAATCCTGCCCTGCATAATCCGGTCATCCTTCTCCTCCTGCTCAATCCTGCCCTGCGAATCCCCTTCTCATCATCATGGTCATCATCATCATCATCATCATCATCATCATCATCATCATCATCATCATCATCATCGTCATCGTCATCACCGTCGTCGTCATCAGCATATCATCATAATCGTCAGCAACCATCATCATCACCAGCATCAGCATCAGCATCAGCATCAGCATCAGCATCGTCGTCATCATCATCGTCATCATCATGGTCATCATCATCAGCATCATCATCATGATCATCTTCATCGTCGCTGAGGTCATCGTCAGCATCGCCATCATCGTCGTCATCATCATGGTCATCATCATCATGGTCATCATCATCATCATCATCATCATCATCATCATCATCATCATTATTCATCATCATCATCATCGTCATCATCATCATCATCAGTATCGTCATCATCATCACCATCATCAGCAGCAGCATCATAATCATCAGCATCATCATCAGCAGCATCACCATCATCGTCATCGTCATCGTCATCGCCATCGTGATCACCATCATCATCATCATCACCAGCATCATCGCCATCGTCATCGTGATCGTCATCATCATCACCACCACGACCATCATCACCATCATCATCAGCATCATCATCCGAATCAGTATCATCATCATCATCATCATCATCATCATCATCATCATCAGCATCACCATCGTCGTCATCATCAGTATCATCATCGTCATCGTCATCGTCATCGTCATTGTCATTGTCATCGTCCACGTCATCGTCATCGTCGTCGTCGTCAACTTCGTCGTCATCGTCGTCTTCCTGATCCTCGTCGTCGTCGTTGTCATCATGGTCGTGGTCGTGGTCGTTGTCGTCGTCGTCATCGTTTTATTGATAAGAATCGCAATAATAACAACAACAATAATAGTAATACCACAACATTGCTCATCATCATATTTATCCGCCACCGTGCCTCTGGGCACGGAGTGGGCGTGTCATCAGGTTCTTTCCCTCATCCACTAAGCCTCAATCCTCACTCCTGAGGAGTTTCGGAGGGGGCCCGACCCCAAATTCACAAATCTCCTGGGTTTGTCGCGGTGCATTGCGGCTTGTCGCATTACTTTTTGGGGCCAAGAGAGCTCCGAGAGGCCCCAAACATGGTCCTGGAGTGCTCCGCGTCGCCGAAAGATCGCTCCAAGACGCCCAAGACGGCCCCAAGACGGTCCAAGAGGCCTCCAAGACACCCAGTGGCCTCCTAGAGGCCTCCCAAGAGGGCCCCAAGAGGCCAAAATCATCGATTTACCCATGGATTTCCGAAGGATTTTGACGTTCTCGCCTTTTCGGCTGCCCGACGCTCCGAGACGGCTCACGAGGCCCTCGAGATCGCCCCAAGATCACCCCAGGGGGCCCCAAGAGGGCCCCAAGACAACCCAAAAAAGCCCCAAGACGGGTCAGGAGGCGCCGAAGACGGCCCGAGGGGGCCCCAAAGACGGCACACGAGGGGGCCCAGGTGGGAAAACCTGAGCGGACATTTCGAGCCATCGGCCCCGAGGGGGCCCCGGGGCCCCAGGAGGCCCCCAAGAGGCACCCAAAGCGCCCAAGAGGCCCCAAGAGGCCTCCAAGAGGCCCCCAAGAGGCCCCAAAGAATCTTCCAAAAGGCCCCCACACTCCTCCCCAGAGGTCCCGGAGAGTGCTCCCACGAGACCCCTCTGACCCACAAGCCAGGCACGGTGGCGGGATGGGCCGAAGGCCATTAGATGACCGCCGCCCCCTGTTGGCTTGCCACAGTGGTGCCCAGCGTGCTAAACGTGCGAAAGGTTTTTGGTTCTTTTAGACCTCCCCTGGGGCTTCAGCCCAGCGCGCCGGCCACCTAGAAGGCCGCCGAAAAATCACCCCTCATGGCCCGAATCGCCTCCAAGACGGCCAAGATGGCCCAACATGGCCTTCAAGGCGACCAAGATGGCCCTCAAATTCACCAAAGATGGTCCGAGATGGCCTCCAAGACACCCCAAGAGCGACCAAGATGCCTCCAAGTTTGCCCAAGAAGCCTCTAGGACGGCTCGAGATAGCCTCAAGATGGCCCAAGACGACCCAAGGAGCCCCCAAGAGGCCTCCAAGACGGCCCAAGAAGCCTCCAAGAGGCCTCCCAAGAATGCCCCAAGAGGCCAAAATCATTCTTTTTTCTCAATTGGTTTCTGAAGATTTTGAACGTTCTCGCACTTTCGGCTTCCCGACGCTCGAAGAGGACAAAATCATGGACGGTTGCTTGGTTTTTGCAAGATTCTGACATGTGACTCTTTTCGGCCCCCCGACGGCTCCAGACGGCCCAAAGCCCCCAAAGATCGCCCCAAGATCATCCAAAAGGCCGCCACAATGGCACCAGAACGGCCCAAGAGGCCCCCAAGACGGCCCCAAGAAGGCCCCAACACAGCCCAAAAGGCCTCCAAGGCGCCCAAGATGGCCTCCAAGACGGCCCTTGAGCACCCCAAGAGGGCCCCAAGTCGGCCCAGAGAGGCCCCCAAAACGGCTTCCGACGGCGTCAGACGGGCCAAAAACGCCTTAAGACGGCCAAAGAGGCCTCCAAGAAGCCCCAGAAGGCCCCGAAGAGGAACAAGGCCCCCAAGATGCCTCCAAGAGGCTCCCAGGAAGCTGCCAGGAGGCCCCAAGAGTGCCCCCAGAGGCTCCCAATATGCCCCCTCCTCCGCCTCCTCCTCCTCCTCCTCCTCCTCCTCCTCCTCCTCCTCATCCTCCTCATCCTCCTCATCCTCCTCCTCCTCCTCCTCCTCCTCCTGATCTACGGCCATCCTCCCCCAAGTGTTCCCCGACGGGTTTCCACAACGGCTGGGGAAACCTATAGCTTGGCAGAGCTCTTGCAACAGCGCTCGGCCACAGGGGCGATTCCAAAAGGTAGGGGGCGGCGGTGATTCGCCATATACGTCTTCGATAGGCATAACCATCATAATCGTAGTCATCATAACCCGACCCTCATCTTCATCTCATTTCTCGCCCTTCTCCTCCAGCGACAGCAACCATCAACACCAACGCGGCCACGACGACCACGACGACCGCAACGACAGCGGGGACGCCGACGACGAGGAGCGAGTGGGCGGCCTGGCAGACCTTGGCACCCACGGTGGCGAAGCCGTAGAGGTCCGCCTCGCTGGCAAACACGAACTCGCGCATCTCCTGGCACGACGGAGAGGGGCCCCTCGTCGCCCAGGGAGGAGCGGGATCGCTGCCAGAGGCCCTGGGGCTTGCCGCCGTCGCCGCGGCGAGGCCTGGCTGAGATCGCGTGGCCGCCGCCAGCTGCATCCGCCTTTGCCGTGGCATCATTGCTGGGCTTAGGTCCCGTGTGCAGGGCTGGCCGCGGGGTGTCGGCCGCGGACAGGAGAGGAGGAGTAGCACGGGGGATGTGACTGTCCTGGGGCCCAGGGGCAAGCCCAGGGATGGCAAAATCGAGGCAGCAGAAAATGACCCTTCCCTCGAGACCCCTTGTTGTTTATGGTGGCTCCTGCGCGGTCTGCACTGCTCTTGTCTAGGATCGGGTTTTGAGCGAAGAAGCAAAAGACGCTGCGGCAGGTTCGTGTCGCGTCAACGCGAGCGTTGGTTTCTGAAGCCGCCTGCATGTTTCAATCCAGAGCGGTCTGCCCTATCCGACCACTAGGCAACTACGTGTGCACCCTGCCCATGCAGGTCAGATTTCTGAAAGACTGGCTGGGGTTCTGCAGCCAGGTGAACCCAGGCGGGGGCATCCGATACTCCAGCGTCGATTGGACCCGCGGGGGTAGGGTTCGCAATTGGTCGCGGGACAAGGGAGACCATTCAGGGTCGGGCTGGCTCCTTTCCACCAGCCTTCGGATGTAAAGCGCCCGCGCTGGCGTCGCGACCGCGCAAACGATGACGAGGACGAGGACGAGGACGAGGACGAGGACGAGGACGAGGACAAGGACGACGACGACGACGACGACGACGACGACGAGCGGGAGGAGGGTGAGGAGGAGGAGGAGGACGAGGAGGAGGAGGAGGAGGAGGGAGGAGGGGGCGCTGGAGGAGGGAGGAGGGAGAAGGGAGGAGGGAGGAGGAGGGAGGGAGTAGAGGAGGAGGAGGCGGGGGAGGAGGAGGGAGGAGGGAGGAGGAGGGAGGAGGGAGGGGGAGGGAGGGGGAGAGGAGGGAAGGAGGGAGGAGGAGGAGGAGAGAGGAGGAGGAGGAGGAGGAGGGGAGGGAAGGAGGGAGGAGGGAGGAGGGGAGGAGGGAGGGAGGGAAGGCGGGAGGAGTAGGGAGGAGGAGGAGGGGAGGGAGGAGGGAGGGGAGGGAGGGAGGAGGATGGGGAGGAGGAGGGAGGGAGGGAGAGGAGGAGGGAGGAGGGGGGAGGGAGGGAGGGAGGGAGGCGAGGCGAGGACGACGACTGCGACGAGGACGACGGAGCGGAGGGGGGGCCAGCTCCTCGGGCCAGGCCTCGGCCTCGGCCCCCGGCCCTCGCTGCCCGGCCCGCCGCCGCGCGGGCTGGCGTCCCGACTGGCGACGCGCCCCCCTCCCTCCCTCCCTCGCACCCTCGCCCGCTCGCTCGCTCCCTCCGCTCCGCTCCCTCGCTCCCTCGCTCCCTCCCTCGCTCCCTCGCTCGCTCCCCTCCCTCGCTCCCTCGCTCCCTCCCTCCCTCCCTCCCTCGCTCCCTCGCCTCGCCTCGCCTCCCCTCCCCCCCCTCCCTCCCTCCCTCCCTCCCTCCCTCCCTCGCTCCCTCCCTCCCTCCCGGCCGCCGCACCGTCGCCGCAGGCACGCACGGTGCGGGGCGTTCGAACGGCTGTCCTCCAGCGGGGCACCGCCCTCGGTACGAAACGAGGCCTACGAGGAGGGAGAGCTTATTGCCGTATCGCTGATGGGTCTTGGGCTCACACTGGTCGTGCTCCTCCTCCCCCGCCTCCCCCTCCCCCTCCTCCTCCTCCTCCTCCTCCTCCTCCTCCTCCTCCTCCTCCATCCCTGCCTCATCCTTCCCCTCCTTCTCCCTCGGTGCAAAACGGAGCCTATGAGTAGGGGATTCGGAGGGAGAGCTTATTGCAGTATCCTTGATGGGTCTTGGGTTCATACTGGTCGTGATCCTCCTCCTCCTCCTCCTCCTCCCCCTCCTTCCTCCCTCCTCCTCCTCCTCCTCCTCCTCCTCCTCCTCCGTCATCCTGCCTCATCCTTCCCCTCCTTCTTCCTCGGTGCAAAACGGAGCCTATGAGTAGGGGATTCGGAGGGAGAGCTTATTGCAGTATCCTTGATGGGTCTTGGGTTCACACTGGTCGTGCTCCTCCTCCTCCTCCCCCTCCGCCCCTCCTCCCTCCTCCACCTCCTCCTCCTCCTCCTCCTCCTCCTCCAACTCCTCCTCCTCCTCTTCCTCCTTCTCCTCCTCCTCCTCCTCCATCCTTGCCTCCTCCTTCCCCTCCTTCTCCCTCGGTACAGAACGAAGCCTACGAGGAGGGGATTGGGAGGGAGAGTTTATGGCAGTATCGCTAATGGGTCTTGGGTTCGCACTTGTCGTGCTCCTCCTCCTTCTACTCCGACTCCTCCTCCATCCCTGCCTCCTCCTCCCCCTCCTTCTCGCTCAGTGAAAGACAGAGCCTATGAGGAGGGGATTGGGAGGGAGAGCTTAGTGCAGTATCGCCGATGGGTCTTGGTATCATCACAATGAACAGGATGAAGTGCAGCAAGTGCTCCACCACACTTGTGCTCTACAAGGGCAAGGCCAAGGAGCTTCCTCGGATCCCGTCCAGACTGCAGACCACGTCGGGTGTCGTGGGCGACTCCCGTGGATGACGACGAGGCCGATGGCCTCTACGAGTGCGACGACCGACTCACGCAGTATCTCCCCTTCCTCCAATGGCGTGGCAAGCCCTGGCTCGAAGCGTTCAGACAAGAGTGGTGGCGAGCAGTCTGAAGCGGCATCCCTTCCTTGGAAAGCCTTGAAGACCACGCAAGGCGAACACCTCACCAATCCGCTCCAGCCCGAGATCATGCGCCTCGGAGAGGAGACTGCGGCGGCGATAGCAACCACGTCCCGAATCGAGACAGGAAGGAAGATGGATGGGTTGTATCGACATGCTGAGCGTCTGCATGAACAAGTTGTTGTTTCGGTTCCTTGACTGCGGGCGAACCTCGCGGCAGCTGAGGGCGACGAGAAAGCAGCAGCCAGGCAGCCAGGAAGCTCGCGGAGGCCGACGTGCAACGACATTGTCTTTGGCAACGGCGGGACAACAACGCCGAGAGACAGTTGCTCAAGGTGGAGTGGGACCAAACAGTCTTCGACAAGATCGACGAGCTCGAGGTTTCCAAGGAGGAGCGCGAGGCGGTAGACCAGCCCCAGAAGCAGCTCCAGGACGCCGTGGGTGACCTCGCGGGCAAGGAGAAGCAGGTCCGCGAGTGGCTCGCGCAGGCCAACAGGCTGGAACAGGAGCACATTGGCGAAGAAGCGCAAGTCCAACTCGGGACAGTCCACTGCCGGCAGCGCCGAAGGTGCTGCACGGACGGCGCGACAGCGGCGGCGTCATCTGCTGCGCCTGGTGCCACTGTGGGCGCGGCTGGTGAGGCAGCAAGTGCTCAGAACGCAAAGTTAGTGGAGGAGGTTCGTCAGAAGGCTCCGGACGGGGCGGCGGAGAAGATCTCAGCCGCCAGGCATTGGAGGATGTGACGAGGTTCTGCTACGCCAACGGCGGGGCCCTCACGACGAAAATTTGGAATTATCTCGAGGGTACTTCACGTGTGTATCCAATTCTGGGAGCTCGTCGGAGCACGCGTACACGAGGAGCACGAGTAGTCCGAGTTACGAGATTGGGTTAAGAAGGCATCGTTTGAATCACAATCCTGTGCGGGCAACAAGACGAGCCACTACATCTGCTATGCCAGCTCGCTCCAACGAAGGAGGCGGGATGATCATGGGCCAGCAGCGCCTCCAGATGCATCAGCTGCAGGAGGCCACTGTGGCCAGCAAGCCAAGCCCCTCGAGAAGGACGACCAAAACGGGTTCGGCGGCTTTCTTCCGCTGGTTGTTCACCTGGCTGGCTATTCGCTCATCATCGTGCTTCTGCATAACGCACCCAGTCTGGACATGCGAGGGGCAAACTTGCAGCGCTTCCAAAGGATCGGAGGCCTGCTCGCGTCAGTTCGCCTCCCATGGCTCACCATCGGAGAGCTCCGTATGACTCACGAGACTCTCAGGGCGTCGCAGTTTGCTAAACGTCTTGGGGGCATCGTCGGCAAAACAGCAGGTAACTCTGGCACGCGTGCGCACAAGAAAGGAGATCATGGCACCTTGATTGAGCATTTGTTGTGCCATCAGAGTGCCATTCCTGTCGTTCGCAACATGCAGCAGATCAGGGGCGTTCCGTAGAAGCCCGATGTGGCCACGTCTGTTCAGCTCAGGAGTTCGGGCCTTCAGCTTCTGAGGAGGGTTCTGGAGGTCCCTCCTAGGTTGCCCCAGCTCCCCGGGCCTCGTCGAGAGCCTTCTAAGGGATCCAGTCATACCCTCGCCAACGCGAAGAATTATCTTGATCGTAGGTCCGCGGCTGAGAAGCGAGATGACCGTCTTACCTGGGGGAAGAGGAGGCCACCGCGGCACTCTCCGACAGTCTTGATGACGAGCTCGACCCGGAGGACTGGCCACGTGAGCCAAACCCCTGGAGATCGTTTTTGGGGAATCGGCGAAGACCCGGGTTATCCCGGGGGAGGAGGAGGAGGAGGAGGAGGCGGAGGAGGAGGGGGCCGGCCGATAACCTAACCCTCGCGCTGTGGGCAGCCCTGCATATGCCCGCGCCCCCCCCCCTCCCGCGGACCTGGACAACTGGCAGGGTTAGGTTATCCTGCGGTGGGGGAGGGGGGGGGCAAGCCCGATAACCTGGGTTATCGCCCGACCCTAGAAAAAAAGACCCCTGGGCCGTCGAGCTAAACTGCTGTCCTGACACGAGCCCTCATTCGCCGCTCGAGCCGATTTCCCCCTGCTCCTCCTGGCCGCTGCAGCTCGAACGAGCCTCGAAGCATGGGCGCCGACGCTCCTCGTGGGACTGACGAGCCTGCGGGCAGGCTGGGCGGCGGCGTTCCTCCTCCCAACTGGGACCAGCCCCCCGCGAGTAGCATGAGGTCGGGCATGTCCCCCTACAGGCGGACTCTGGAGGAACAATAAAAAAGTCAGAAATACTCAACAGTGGTCAGAAGTGGTCGAAAAATCGACCCCCCACGCTATCTTTTGACTATTTGAGAATATTCCTCCTGCGAAGGGACGTGCCCGACTTAAGAATAGCAGAATGAATGTACCGACAACCTGGGACATTTTGGTGAACCCTGCCTGTTCCGACCCCTGCGTTTACCGTTCCTCGGGGTTTGTGGATGGAGTGGCGGCGCCAGGTGGGTTTCACTCCTGGGTGTCAGTGTTTAGTATCACTCCCCGCTGCTGCATTCCGTAGCATGTAGGCTCGAACCCACACAAACTCTACGCGCCGCAATATCAAGCATATATGCGGCATGGGCGGCCACAACTGAGGCGGCTTTCTCAGCACATCATGGTGTGTCGTCTTGCAGAGCTCACGGGCCACAGATCATAGTCAAGCCTGTACGAAAAGCCTTCCATCGGAGGCAGCTCAAGTTACGTGATTTGAAAGCGCAGTGGTGGACCAGGTTGCTCACTATGGTGACGGGCCTAGTCAGGCACTCCGAAGGGTCAACGGCACTGTGCAGGTGACCAATTTCGGGAAGCATGTTTGAAGCTGTTTAGTGATCGTCCTGAGGGCTTCTTCGCTGTTCTCAAGACAAGCCGCGATCCACTGTGGCAAGCTTGGCTCAGACTCTTGAGCGGCAGTGGCAGACAAGACTTACTGGTTCTCCAGTCGTTCGAGGTCAGCGCCAAACCTGTGGCACAAAGAGTCCAGCGCCAAGCTGCACAGCATTCCTTGAAACATTTACGAGTGGGTAGTGGAGCCTGAATCAGCAAGTATCCTTCACAAGACGCTCAAACCCACCCCTCTCCCTCCAATGGAGGGTCCATCTGGTGAAATGGTTGTGTTTCATCCGCGTGGCACCATGAATGAGAAAGTCAAGATGTTCAAACAATCCATATATATATATATATACATACACATACATATTCATAGATATTGTGTATATATGATGTGTATATACATGTATATATATATATATATATATATATACATATATGTATATATATATATATCATTATATGAAAATATATTCCTCTTCCTATATGTTTACAAGCCCGGGCGGGGGACCCCCCCCCCCCAAAAAAAAAAAGAACTGGACTCCTGGAGCTTTGGGACCCTCCGGACGGGCCTCGAAGCGGCCCCTCGGGCCTCGCAGGGCGTTTTGCCAAGCCTTCCCAGCACACCTAGGGCGACCAGGGGGTCATCGGAGACGTCCCAGAGACCCCCAAGACAGCACAAGAGCGCTCCAAGAGTGACCGACGTGACCTCAAGATGGCCCAAGAGGCCTCCAGGACGGCCCCAAAGAGGCCTCCAAAAGCACTCCCAAGAAGGCCCCAAGAGGCAAAAATCAGTGTGTTTCCGTTGGGTTTTGGTGAATTTGGGGGTTTTCCTCTCTTCGGCTTCCCGACGCTCCAAGACAGCGGTCTTCTGGGCGTCCGAAGCCGCCTGGGAGGCTCCAAAATCGCCCCAGAACCATCCGAAAGGGCTTCCAGGCAGTCCAAGAGAGCCCCAAAACGGCACAACACGGGTCCAAGATGGCCCTCAGAGAGCCCCATGGCGGCCCAAGATGACCCCGAGACACCCTCCGAAGCATTCCAGATCGTGACCTGGTCGTTCAGGGAGACCGCGGTTGGAGGCAGGGTGGCCCGAGGAAGCCCCCAGAGGCCCCCAGAATACGCCCAGGAGGCCTCAAGAAGGCCTTAAGAAAGCCTGAAACAACTTTTGTGAGGCCCAGAGAGGCTCTCCAAGGAGGAGCCTCCGCAAAAAGAGCTGAGGAGGATGGGGAGAATGCGCAGGGTATGGCGGAAATGAGGAAAAAGAAGTATGGAGAAAGGATCACGAATAAAATTATCATAGCGGCGATGCCGGAAAAGGCAACAAGGAGTTATTGCTAAATTGTCGGCCTGACCTTCCTGCTATTCCGCCTGCATACCAAACGTCAAGGACCAAGGTGCATGGCGAGAAGCGCCGCTGCAGTCTTGTGTATGTATGTGTGTACATATATATATACACACATACATACATACATACATACATACATACATACATACATACATACATACATACGTACATATAGGCCCCAACGTTGTCATCATTTCAGATACAAAGGAGCTCTTCAGACAGGGTCGTGAGGTGGCTGCAGACGAACCATTGTCGCCGTTCAGCACGGACACTCTTGTCAAAGCTGCCGCCAAGATGAAAGCGAACAGTTGTTTCGCCTGAGACATCCTTACAAAATGGAGAGGGTGGGGTTCAATACGGTCCAAGGTGGCCTTAAGGACGGCCCAAGAGGGTCCAAGAGGTCTCTCAAAGTTCGACGGCCCAAGATAGCCTCAAGACGCTCCCAATCAGTCTGATGCCGGCCCAAATTACCCTCAAGACGACCCAACGGGGCTCCAAGAAGCCTTTCAGGATGGCCCGAGGAGGCCAAAATCGTTAGATGCTTAAAACAGTGTTAAACGAGATCCGCGTTATCGCCGTCTCGGGCTTCCGGCAGTCGAAGACTGGCCCGGAGGCCTCCAAGATGGCTCCAAGACGGCCCAAGAGGCCGCCAAGAGGGCCCCAAGACGGGCCAAGAGGGACCCAGGATGGCCGAAGAGACCCTCATGATGGCCCCAAGACTGCCTCCAATATCGCCTCAAAATTGCACGCGAGACCCCCAAGGCCCCAAGAGACCCCCAAGAGGCCCCCAAGAGGACCCCAAAAGATCCCCAGGAGGCCCCCAGGATGCTCCCTGGTGTCCCAAGAGGCCCCTTTAGCCTCCCTCACCTTCTCCTCTCCCTCTTCCTCCCTCGAATGTTCGCCCGAGTTGCTCCGCAACGGCTGGAGGAACACACAGCCCCGCAGTTTTGCAAGACCTCGTCCCAACGTTTGGCCACATAGGCGCTTCAAAAGGCAGGGGGCGGCGGTGGTTTACAGTAGGCGTCGTCGATTCGATGTCTCTCTCTCTCTCTCTCTTTCCCTCTCTCTTTCTCTCTCTCTCTCTCGTTCTTTCTCTCTCAACTCTCTCTCTCTCTCTCACTATTTTCTTTCTCCATCTATCGTTACCTCTCTTTCTCTCTGTCCTCTCTCTCTCTCTCTCCTGCTCCTGGTCTCTCTCTCTCTCTCTCTCTCCCTCTTTCTCCCTGTTATGATTTACACATATACACACGCACACACTCCAAGCAATGTTTGCCCTTAGGGGTTCTTACCTGTCTGTCGCAAGGAGCTGGGCCTGCGTGGCCGTCTGGCGGCTCCGTGGTCGCCGTCGCCGCCCCGTCGCCGCCCCGTCGCCGCCCATCGACCGGGCGTGCGTGGCGGCTCCATAGTTAATCGCCGTCGCCGCCCCGTCGCCGCAGCAGGGACTGCACCGCATAGATCGCGCCACATCGCTTGCACTACTGAGAGAGCGGCGCATATATGTATGTGTATATATACATGTACATATATATATACATATATATATATATATGTACATTATATATACACATACATACAAATAAAAACGATATACTACAAATGTGTACCAATACAAATACCGTAGCACCGCATAGAGTGTATGATGCAGATTGCACAACATAGACTGCACAACGTACACTGCGCCAAGTGGATAGCACAGCATAGTTCGCGCGACATGTAATGCACAACATGCAGGTTGCACAGCCGCGATCGCACCATATATATATACACAAACACTTACATATACATGTACATATACATACACGTATACATATACATATACATATACATACACATATACATATACATATACATATACAGATACATATACATATACATATACATATACATATACATGTACATATACATATACAAATACATATACATATACATATACATACGTATATATATACACATATATATATACACAGCTTACGTATACATGCATGTGTATGTGTATACATATGTTGCCCCGTATATATTGCACCACAGTGATAGTCCCGCATAGATTGCCCCACACAGGCTGCCCAACATATTGCTGGAACACACACGATCACATACTGGTTGGGGCCCACGCTGGCGCACATACGTATCGATGTTTGTTTGTACACACATGTACAAATACAAGACTGCATTGGCGCTTCGCGCCATGCGCTTTGTTCTGGACCCTCCCCGGCAAAGCAATACATCATCGCTTGTTTCAGCGGGGGGGACCTCGAAGCCTGGACGGGCGACCCGCTCATGTTTCTGATATCCCTGGTGCCTGCTAACACCGCGTTCGCCCGATGCGCTTGCACGCTTGTACGCAGGAGCTGGAGGAATGATGATTTTTTCACGCTCGAAAGTCCTTTGAGGAAGTACGGAACGGTCTCATGACACGCCGAAAAAGTCGCCGTAGCACCGGACAAATCGATGTTTGATAACTTTCTGAATGCCTGGAAGGCTCCAGGCAGTCAGGAAATCTTCGATCGTCGAATTTCGAATCTAGATCCATTGACTGTCTCTCTCGATCGAGGAACTGAAACCTCGAGCCTCAAGCGTGGAAGCAAAATCGTCGGGCCAGCTCGATGTACTTCGTAGGAAAACGCCGTCTGGGCGTTTTGGGCGCTGTTTTGGGCCGTCCTGGGGCCCTCTTGGGCCGTCCCGGGGCTTCTTGGGCCGTCTTGGGGAGCTGGGGGCCTCCAGAGATCTTCTGAAGCCATCTAGGGCCCTCTTGGGGGCCTCCAGTGGCCTTCTTGGGGGTCTCCCATGGCTTTCGTGGGTCTCTCTTGGGAGCCTTCGGGGGGCATCTTGGGCCTCTTACGGGCAGTCTCGGTGCTCTCTGGGGCAGTGTTGGTGCCCTCTTGGGCCGTCTTCAAAGCCTCTGAGGGGCCTCTTGGGCCGTCTTGGGGCGATACCGGGGGCCGATCGGGCCGCTTTGA